TGGCCGGGCCCGCAGAGGACGCCCCACCTGTCCTGGCCTCGCCTGGGCTGGTGCCCTGTAGCCCCATCAGCACCGGCCGGGCCCGCAGTGGCCGACCCACCTGTACTGGAAGGTCATGTTGGTGATCTTGATCTTGATCTCCTCGCCCAGGCGGCGCTCGCCCGTCATTTCGAAGAGCCTGCTGGCCATCTTCTCGTACACCTTGGCATTGCGCTTGGTCTGCTTCAGCTCGTCGAAGAACTGCTCCCAGACCAACATGAGGCCGCGCATCTCGGCATCGGTCCAGTTGCGGGCCCGCCGGTGCTTCTCCGTCTGAGGGGACACGAGATAGCTGGGCACTTCGGCCGCTGCCATGGCGGAGGCACCTGTGGGGTCAAAAGAGCAGACTCAGGCCGGGCCCCCGCCCCCGGCCCCCGGGCCCGCCGCTCTGCCCACCATGGGCAGCGGGCGAGCAGCCGCGGGCGCTCGGCTCGAAGGCGGCTCCGCGCTCAAAATGGGGCCTACGTCTGACAGGCAGGAATTTAGTTAAAAGCTTTTAAACGGGAAACGTCATTTTGATGTCACGTTTCCATAGCAACAGAGCAACTGCATAAGCTACAACAACAGAAACCTTTTAACTGAAAGCGCAGGAATCAGGGCAGACCTGACGGGCCATCAATATTGCAGGAGGCGGCCGCCTCAGACCCGCGGCCGAGCGCCAGAGGGTGGCATCCTGGCCGCGACCCCCACCTCGGCCCCCTGCTCACCCGGCCTGGGGCCCAGAGAAAGTCCAAGACGGGGGCTGGGGGCACAAGACGGGGAGGGGGCTAACCAAGAGGAAGGTGGGGTGGGGGAAACAGAGAGAGAGACCGAGAGAGGACAGCCAGACAGACAGAGAGAATGGGGGCTGCCGGAGGGAGACAGACACGAAGCGGGGGGGGGGGCACCTAAGGACACCCCCTCAGAGGCCCTCAGCCTCCCACACATAGACCTGCATGCTGACGCTGACCCCGCCAGCAACCACAGGCACAGCCCCACAGTCAGACGGTCACCCTCGGTGTCCCCAGCCGCCGTGTACATGTCCCATGACAGGGAACCAGGTGTAGAGCCGCACAGGTGGAGCAGACCCAGCTCTGCCTCTGTTTCCCTCCTTGCAGGGTGGGGCTGGCTGGGGTGGGGCGGGGTGAGCAGTCGGGTGGGCGTCCTGAAGCCCAGAGCATGCCTGGGGGCAGGTGGTGAGGGGAGGTGGGTCCCAGCCCGGCCAGCCCCGGTGTCACCCTGATACCCGCCACCACCTGACTAGGAATGCTGGGTGGGGCTAGAGGGGCTGGAAGGGGCCACACTCATTCCTGGAGCCCCAGGGCCAGCCCTGGATAACACAGGCAGGTGGTTCCGAGACGGATCTGACGCCGCCATGAGGCTGCCAGGCCACCCACATGCCTGGGAAGTACCCTGGGGGAACACTCGCCCCCTGCCCCACCACAGTTCTGGGTGCAGCCAGGCACACGCAGGCCAGGCACACGCAGGCCAGGGGCACACGCAGGCCAGGGGCACACGCAGGCCAGGGACACGCAGGCCAGGGGCACACGCAGACCAGGGGCACACGCAGGCCAGGGGCACACGCAGGCCAGGTACACGCAGGCCAGGGGCACACCCAGGCCAGGGGCACACGCAGGCCAGGTGCACGCAGGCCAGGGACACACTCAGGCCAGGGGCACACACAGGTCAGGGGCACTTGCAGGCAGGGCACACACAGGTGAGCACACGCAGGTCAGGCATGCTCTAGGCGCCCAATGCAAATTGCTGCTTGCCTGGCTGAAAGCCCCCATTTCTGGAGCTTGCGGGGAGGCGGAGAGCCTGGACATTCCTAACACTGATCCCAGGTAGGGGGCCACCGGCACTGGCTGGGGTCCCACGGGATCCTCACCCTGCTCTCAGGGTGCCTCTGCAGGGCTTACCTGAGCTGCGCCCCGTGTAGAGGGCCAGGGCCGTGTGGGCGTCAGCTGGGGCCCCTAGCCCCTCTCCATCCTCCGCTCGGCTCCTGGCACCTCATCCGTCATCCCCTTCACCCTCCTCGTGCCCAGCCTGTGCTGACGCTGGGAACACAGAACAGGAGGCCCAGACCATGGCTGGTGGGGCGGGCCAAGGAGATGACGGGCCCCCGGCCCCCAGCGTCCCTGCTAGTACGGTACATCTGGATCAAGGAGAGCTCTAGGCCGGGACACACGGATGGGGGTCACCAGGTGACTGGCTCCCCGAGTGAGAGGCAGGCGGGCAGAGGCAGGGCTGTGAGGGGGCAGAGGCGAGGGGAGGGGAGGCCTGAGAGCCAGCTGCAATGTCACTGGGCCGGCCTGGAGACCGCCGGTGGGAACCAGCCCTAGGCAGAAGCCGGGCTGGGGAGCCTGGGGGCTGCACCCACAGAGAGGCGTTACCATTCAGGAGTGAACAGATCAGGAGCTGAGAACTCCGCCAGCCCAGCACCCCTGTGAGGATGGCGAGGGGCACAAGACAAGCCCCCCAACTAGCCCTGGCACCAGGCACCGGCCAGCCCATCTGTGTCCCTGCAGGGCTCTGGCGCTGCCCCTGAAGCCCAGGCAGGGCTGGCACGGCCACACCTGCACCCAGGCAGGACACACAGACAGCAGGGCCCACCCTCCTCCCGGCCGACCTTGAGGACAGAGCTGCCCGCGGCAAGGGGCCAGGCTGGAGCTGGAGGTGGCTCTGAGTCCTGGCTCAGCTGCCCCTGCATCCCTGTGTGATGCTGACATGTCCCCTGAGCAGAGGGGCAAGTGTGACCCTTCGGGGGCAGACAGGGAACCTCTGCAAAGGCTCAGGGTACCAAGGAAGGAGAGTGAGGGGGAGGGCTGGGTGCCTGGGCCCCCTGTGGGGCCCAGGATGGGGAGGGGGCAGTCTGGGGTACATGGCTTGCCCTGCCAGGGCCCCCCACCCCAACAGCACAGTCAGAATTGGAGAGAGAGGGGAAGGGGAGGGGAGGCAGGCAGGCCATCGAAGAGGTTCCAGGGTGCTCAGAGGGGCTCCTGCCCCACTTCCCCAAGTTCAAGGGTGAGGCTGTTCAGGACAGGGGTGGGACAGAGCCGGCACCTCCCTGTGGGAGCAGCCAAGCTCCTTCATCTGGGCCTCAGATTTCCCACCCCCCTGGAGTACAGCATCCCCCAGGTAGCTCCTGACTGGGGGACTTGTCCTGGGAGGCCCCCAAAACCTCCCACTGCCCAAGCCAGGCCCCATGGCTGGGAGCTGGAGCCCCCTGCTGCCCACCCCCTCCCCCCATGCCCAGCAAGAGGCCTGGGGCGTAACTGTGCTTGGAGTGTGCAGGATGAATGAGGACAGAGAAGAGCTGCCTCTTCCAGGAAGCCCTCTCTGCTCCACAGGCAAAGGGATTCAATCCCAAGGGTCCCTAGTGCTGACACGTGGCCCCATCTGGGGTCCAGGCTTACTCACTGCCCTTGTCCAACCCAATAATGACCTCCAACGGCAGGGGCTGGGCTCCTCGCCAGCGCCCAGCACGTGGGGTGGAAGGGCCTTGGAAAGAAGAGGTATGCAGAGGACAGGGAGAAGGGATGAGCAAGGCTTGGGGTGTAGGCAGCCTGGCTTCTTACTAACCCCTCTTTTTTATCATGGCAAAATACACATAACACAAAATTTACTGTTTTAACTATTCGGTGATGTGTTAAGGGCATTTACTGTGCTAACCATCACTACCATCTTAGAGTTTTTTTATCATTCCAAACAGAAATCCTGCTTAAATTAAAGAATAACTCCCCATTTGTTTCTTCCATCAGCCCCCGGCAATTTCTATCATACTTTCTGTCTCTAAAGAATTTACATATTCTAGAGACCTATCCAGAGCCTTGGTGGTGCAATGGTTAAAACAGTTGACTGCTAACGGAAAGGCTGGTGGTTCGAACCCACCAGCCGCCCCAGAGGGAGGAAGATGCGGCAGTCTGCTTCCATAAGGATTACAGTCTTGGAAACCCTCTGGGGCAGTTCCACTCTGTCCTACAGGGTTGCCATGAGCTGAAATCAATTTGACGGCAACGGGTTTGGCTTTTTTAGATACCTCATATAAGCAAGGATGGCGAGACTTTGTCTCACATACTTTGGACATATTATCAGGAGGGACCCGTCTCCCTGGAGAAGGACATCATGCTGCTAAAGTAGAGGGTCAGCGAAAAAGAGGAAGACCCTCAATAAGATGGATTGACACAGTGGTGCAACAACAGGCTCAAGTTTAACAACGATTTTGAGGATGGCGCAGGACCAGGCAGTGTTTCGTTCTGCTGTATATGGGGTCCTGACAACATATGAGGGGAATCATACAACATTCGGCCTTCTGTGTCTGGCTTGCTTCACTTAACATAATGTTTACAAGGTTCATCCATGTCATAGCGTGTATCAGAAGTTCATTGCCCTTTACGGCTGTGTGACATTCCATTGTGTGTATACACCACATTTTGTTCATCCATTCACCTGCTGATGGACACCAGGTTGTTTCTACCCCTTGGTCACTGTGAACAGTGATGCAGTAAAGGTTGGTATACAGGTGTCTGTCTGAGTCCCTGCTTTCAGTTCTTTTGAGTATATACCTAGGAGCAGAATTGCTAGGTCATATGACTATGTTTAACTTTATGAGGAACAGCCAAACTTTGTCCACAGCAACTGTACCATTTGACATTCCACCCAGAATGGACAAGGGTTCCAATTTCTCCACATCCTTGTCAACACTTCTTATTTTCCTTTTGTTTGCTTTTAATAGCCATCCTAGTAGGTGTGAAGTGGTGTCTCATTGTGGTTTCGATTTGCATTTTCTTGAGTTTGTGATGTGGCACATCTTCTCATGTACTTATCGGCCATTTGAATATCTTCTTTGGAGAAATGTCTATTCTTTTGCCCATTTTTAAACTGGGTTGTTTGATTTATTATTTACTTACTTACTGAGTTGTAAGAGTTCTTTATATCTTGTAGGGTCACTATGAGTTGGAATAGACTCAAGGGCAACAGATTTCATTTTCTGGTTTTCTAGTTCTTAACCCCTTATCAGATATATGATTTGCAAATATTTTCTCCCATCCTGTGGGTTGTCTTTATAACTCTTATTAGCTTTTTTTTTTTTTTTTGGTAAATATGCATATATATATATATATATATATATATATATAAAAGCACAACATTTGCCAAGTCTTTTACTTACTTGGTTAAATTTATTACTAAGTATATTATTCTTTTTGATGCTATTGTAAATTGAATTGTTTCCTTAATTTCCCTTTTGAATGGCTCATTTCTAGTGTACAGAAACTGATTTTTGTGTGTTGACTTTGTACACTGCAACTTTGCTGAATTTGATTATTAGCTTTATCTGTTTTGTGTGTACGTGTGGATTCTTCAGGGTTTTCTACATATAAGATCATGCCACCTGTGAACAGAGATAATTTACTTGTTCCTTTCCAACTTGGATGCCTTTTATTTCTTTTTCTTGTTTAATTGCACTGGCTAGAACTTCCAGTACTATGTTGTTAGAAGTGGCAAAAGCAGACATCCTTGTCTTGTTCCTGATCGTAGGGGAAAGGCTTTCAGTCTTTCAACACTGACTATGATACTGACTGTGGGTTTTTCATATATGGTCTTTCT